CAGGTCTGGGCTTTGGCAGACAGGTTTGACAAGATTGACTACCAGATGAAAGGCCTGGACAGTCTTGCTGCTGGCATGAACTCGCTCAATGAGCGAATCCCTCAGATGGTTGCTGACTTCCAGGCCGAAGTGGACAATGTCAGGAGGGGCATCTATGAATGCCTGGATCGCATTGGGCCTCCGCCGTCCAACCGCTCCAACCCGCAGGGGCCATCATCGCAGGTGCACCTGGAGTCCCAGGCTCCAATGACGAACGCCGTGGTGCGCCCTGCCATCAACCTCTCGACGGCCATCCCAATGCAAACAACGACGCCCTCGATCACAGTGCAGTGCCCCCCGGGTGAGCTCTTCAGGGCCCTCTTCCACCCCCCGAATCCGTGATGATGGCGAGAGCGGATACGGCCTGCTGAGCTCGTAGTGCGGATGACATGTATGTGCGAATTTAGGCATGTGCATGATTGCACTATATGCATGTATATGAGAATTTGTGCAAGTGCATGGCTACATTTTATGCATGTTTGATGCAGGTCGATGTTTCTATTCTTTGATAGGTTTCAAGCCTACTAAACAGTTGCTAGTGACAATTGCTGGTCCTTGTAGCACGTGAAGGGTTGGTTTGCATGTGATCGTGCATGATTGTGAATTCATGGATTTGTTGTTCACTCGTGTGACATGGAGACTGTGAGCACAGTAGCAGTCCCCCTCTGGAATAATCTTTTCCCACTCCCCCCTATGATATTCTCCTCCCAGTCCTTCTTCTCTATCCGAGGGGGCCAACTGCCCTAAGCTCTCACATGCGGGTCACACTGTACTTTATGCATGCTGCATTTGTAGCCTGTACTTTACGCATGCTGAATTTATAGCCTAGAAGAATTTGGAGAATTTGGAGAGAATTTGTGGAATTGGTTGAATTCAGAATTCGGTGTATCTATGCTTGCCACATACAAGTCTGATGTGTGCCGAAGAGGGTACCTGCTTCGGAAGGTGAAGGTGTGCTGAAAAGTTTGTCACCTCATGTCGTGGGATGCGGGGTTACCTTACCACCCCCCCTAGGCTACTTAGTCCCCGGACTCCCTGAAGATAGTGGATGTACGAAGTAGTGTGAGAGGAGAGCCACAAACCTGTGCACTTTCTGGAAAGGTACTACTGTAGCAAGGTAGGATGAGGATGTCGCATAATACACGGGGTTAGCCTGTGCCACGCTGCAGCTGCCTGCAAGCGCAAGGCCTATGCATGCATCATGACCCCCATTCTGACACATCTCTGCTCCTAACCTCTACATCCTTCCTCCTTCCTCCCCCTACAACTGAAACCCCCCATGACGGACATGAGTTCTCGCGGGGAATCTGTTGCTGAAAAGGCGGAAGAGCTCCTCCAGGCCCCCGAAGCTCTAACGAAGGAGCACATCTTGGAGCTCTATGACTTGGCCCCCCCCCAATGTAAGCAAGGTCCCACGAGTGCCAGGCAGATGATGACGGGGGGCAATCCAAGAAGTTCTAACGCCCCTCTTCACAACATTTTTGACCTTCCCTGTGTCACTCAAGCTGTGACCAAATTTGTCAGACACTATGCTCCTGGGATACCTTTCAGCACTGTCACCATCCTGGAAGGGGCGAAACATGGAGTTCATGTTGACACGCACAACGCATCCCCCCCGAATGTCATCATGAATCTCACGACGTTCCATGGCGGGGGCCTATGGATTGAGCAAACAGGGGGTCCTGATCACCTTAAATATGAAGGTAGAAACATGCAGGGAAGAATTTGGAGCCTCGAAACCAAGCCAGTTGTTTTCTCTGCCTCACGCTTGAAGCACATGGCCACTCCGTGGAAAGGGGCTAGGAGGGTTGTCTTAATTGCCTTTACTGTTGGGACAATCCGAACTCTGTCAGAGGAGGTCAGGAGTCTTCTTGCTGCTGCAGGCTTTTGCCTGCCTACTAAGGCGCAACTTAGTTTCTATAAAGCGCATCTCATCCGTCCGGGTGAGCTACGGCAGCTCACGCTGCCTAGCAGCATGGTCAGAGGGAGTGGAGGAATGGACAAGACAGGACAGCTCGCTGAGCTTGAACTTGAGTGTACTGAGGCCATTGAGGTCACGAGCTCGGATGAAGAACCTGTAAAAGCTGTGGGGCTCCGTAGAGGGAATCTTCTCCGCCCCCCCCCAATGAGCTATATGCGCAGACTCATGTGGGAAGAGGATGCTGATTTGGAAGAGACCTTCTCACGGCAGGGAGGGCCTCTGCCCTCCCATGGGCCCCCCCCTACTAAGCCCTGCCCCCCCCCACTGGAGCCTCCCCCAAAAAGGGCAAGGACCGCGCCGGCGGGTTTCTGAGTGCCTCCGACTAAGGAGCAGGCGGCTGCGCACCTAGGGATTGCGTGTGCAATATATGCCAACTCAGGAGCCAGCTGCATTGCATACCCCATGTCTCCCACTACTTGCATGCTTCTACATTTGCATGTTTATAAATTTTGAGTGATGTACACAACTGTGAACTGTGAACTGTGAGCTTGCTGTCGCTGTGGAGGGATGCACGGAGTGTGTTGAAGTGTCATGGTACTGGCCAGCGCCACACCACCCGCCAGTCCGCATGAAAGCCTGCACGGACCCACTCCACTTGCCCCGCGAACCCGCCTAGGCCCACTGGAACAGTTGGGGGGGAGGGGGGGAGGTTCATAGGGACCTATGAGGAAAACCTGTGTTTGCTGGGTACAGGCCCCAAGAAGCTCATGTCCGCCCACCTTTGAAATTCCTTGTATGAGAGCATCTAGTGTTGTCCCCCCCCCCCCCCCAGCATCCTAGTCCCTAATTTGGTAGCACTGCCGAGCGCAGACACCACGCCATGGCTGCTGGCGTTGCAGAGTGCTGATATGCAGATTGCGCAGTATGCTGCAGGTGCAAACGATCCTGCTGCAGACACTCAGCACGGGGCTGAACTGGACTGGACTGGAATGGCCGCTTGCTGCCTATGTGTGGACTAGCAGGAGAAATGGTGGCCTGCACCGGCATAGGTCACATCGACACAGGTCCACCATGAGCCCTGCCAATCTATTTAGGTTTCTCAGCTGAATGCTCACCACAATGCATGGATGGTCTGGCCAGACACGTGCCACCTGCTGGTCCGGATGTGATCGCTGAACAAGAAGCGTACATTTGAAGCAGTGGGATAAAGTGCAAAGCAGCACCGACAGAGTGACAGCCATCGGTGAGGAACTGGGTAAAGGGCATGCGAATGGCCAGTGATCGCTCACCCTGCACGACCGGAAGCTTGCACCCTGGGAAGAGTTTGGTGGCCAGCACAATCGGCTTCTTCGCCGATACCAAACAGCTGCTACATCTCTGAGCCTCTCAGGCATAGAATTCGGACTAAGGGATGAGGGCCCAGGGCTGAGTGCTCGCTCCCGTGGCAAAGACATACACGTGATTGTTCGTATCCATAGCTGTTTCGTCCACCAACGCCAGAGGGAGAAGTGAATGTAAACTCAGCAGAAACTTTGTTGAATTTATGAATTCATGCTGACTGAGCCTTTCTGCACGTTTCGGTCGCCAATGCTAGGAGCAGGAATACACATTGACGAGTGTGGAGTTTGCATCACCAGGATATCCTACGCACGGGCCACAGGCGTGCCTAGACTGTAGTTACTGTTGTAATATGCAAACTCTGCAAGAACCCTGTCGAATTCGTGAATTTAAGCTGACTGAGCCTCACTGCATGATGCCGAATCCGTGCTGACTACCTTTCTGGATGCGACCCTTTGAACTTCAGGGAACTTGCATGATGCAATTCGCGGCATCTAAGCAGATAAGCTGGGTAATTCTGTGTACTATGGCAGTATGACTACAAGGGGTTGCACGAAGCATGTTGCAAAATCATGTTCCAGTTTGAGAATTCAGAATTCAAGAATTCATGCATGGCTGCCATGTGGGAAACTAGAAGGTCCTGCGGGAAGGAAGCCAGGAAGGGGACATATTTCCTACTCACCGGCCACAGGCGTGCCCATAACTAGTGAATCCCTCTTCAGCTTCCACCCCCCTTGAGAACCATCGAAGAGACAATGATCTCGGATGCGACGAAACACACTTAGGACTCCAAGGAGAGGGCCTAGAAGACTTTCAAGACGGTGTCTATGCCAAATGAGAGAACCCTAACCACTACCCATGCCAGGTGCCACAGGCGTGCCTAGACCTAACATTGTGCCTAAAGGGTAGTCTCATGGCAAGACAACACCTCACTGCACAGGGAGTTGCGACAAGTGAACGGCTAGCTAAGCCTACGTTGAAGGTTTGTAGGACCAAGCAGGGGAAATGCACACTGGAAGCAACTCCCAGGTTCCTGTGAGCTATAAAGCCATTTGAAACAGGCCAGGCTCTGGGAACAAACAGACCCATTTGAAGCCCTGGTAACTCTGCTCTAGCGAAGTGGATGCCATTGGCGAGTCTGCAGCGTGAATGTATCCCCGGGAAACGTATCTGCAGTAGTACTCTGTTGATGTAGGGTGGGCGTAATCTGAGTCGATAGGACCTCAACACTGCAAGACCGGGGATATGAAGCTCTGTCGCCCCCATTGTACATCATTTCCAGGATAGTGAGCCTGTCCGATTGCGTGCATCTCTTCCTTATTCAAGTAATCAATCCCCTTTCAGTCAATCCCGCTTTGCTGCATTCTGGCCTATGTGCCACTCGGACAGGTGCGCTGGGGGGGGCAGGGGTCTAACCTTCGAACTTTGGGAGTCCGGGGATGGTGGCTTCGGGGTTGGTTCCTTGTTATCCTGGGGTTGTACGTGCTTTGTGGTTTTGATGGTGTTGCTTCGGCTGTTAGTGGGTACGGTAAACTCCGAAGGCCATCTTGGGGCTCCAGCAACGGACTAGCAACCTTTTCAACCTGAATTTTGGCGGTAACTAGGCCTGACCTCTTCCCCGTAAACGCTTGCGAAACGGGTGGGAAAAAAAAACCCTAAACCCTAAACCCTAAGCCCTAAACCCTAAGTTTGCAGATCTGAGGCCTCTCCTCTCGCCTGGAGTTGGTGGTGGAGCAGCAGAAAACCACCACTGACCAGCTGCAGTCGGAAGTGCATTCGTGGCAGGAAGCTGCCAAGGAGGCGACTTCCGCTTTCTTTGCGGTTTAGGGTTTAGGGTTTAGGGTTTAGGGCTCAGGGCTTAGGGCTTAGGGTTTCTGCCCAAGTCCGGATGCAAAGGGTGCCAGACTCTGGGTTCAAAAAGGGTGTCAGATGCTGCCTCAGGCCATGAAGCAGGCCAGCAATGTCAAGTCCAAAATGGCAAGCATGATGAACTGTATCAAAGGCCACTCGGAACGTTAAGCTTGCGAGGTGAACAGTTGCAATGCGTGTGTGGTAGCTCAAATCATGTTCCTGAGGTCTTGATGCTTTCAGTGGGTCCGGGAGGATGCGCTTTGACAAGGATGGTGCGCAACAAGGCTTCTGCCACGTGTCCAATGTGGGTTTCAGCCTCGTGACTTTCCTGAAGCTTTCTGTACAGCTTTGACGATTCCATTTCGTTAGGTCCTTGTTCATGCCCATTCGGATCGCTCTCCTCACTCCATGCTCAGGATACCATCACGTTTGGGACCATCGAGAATGGCAAGCTCCTCCTCTTTGAAACGTCCAAAAACCAGAAGATTGGAGAAGGACGTGACAGTGCGTACCGATGCAAGGAGCTGGAGACCGGAGAGCAGTTCGCCCTGAAGATGTACACCATGGGAAATCCAAGGCAGAGGCGCGCAATCCTGCACGACCTCTACGCGCACCGCCTGCAAGTCGGGAAGCATCCCAGAATTGTGAGCTACGAGCGCGTGATTGAGTCGGAGACGACAATATTTGTGCTCATGGAGCTCCTCGCAGGCAGGTGGCAGTATGCGCGCGCTAGCCTGGCAAGTCTGAAAACATCGAGCCGCGTGAAGGCAGATAGTTCGTCGAGATGCCTTTGTTGCCTTGCGTGCCCCTTTTGCAGGCAAAGATCTCTTCGACATCCTGTGCGCTCGAAGGCTGACGGAGGATGAAGCACGACCACTTTTTCGAGAGCTTGTGGAAGGGCTGCAGCACTTGCACAGCCACGACATCATCCACTGTGATGTGAAGCCAGAGAATGCCATGGTTCTGGGCAGCATCGATGACGAAAGCGCTCACTTGCGGAGCGCTGAGCTGCTGTCTAGGAACTATATGGTACTACTTGCCGATTGCTAGGCGCCATGTGGCATCTTATGCTTATGATATGCGCTTTCCATGTGTCGTGGCCCAGGAAGCTGATTGATTTCGGCTGTTCCTGCTTCCGGGAGTTTGTGCACGAAGAATCCGAGACACGGGCGTGCATAGTGCAAGACCGTTACATGCCTCCGGAGCTTGGCGCTGCCAGAAATGTTGTACCAAGCTTCGGTACAGATATGTGGCGGTTGCTATATCCCCCTTGAGAATTATTTTTTGTATTTTGGTTTATATAAAGCCCAAGAGGATACTAAACATATTATTCTTATTAAGGTTCTAAGGGGAGTATAGGTTGGGCTGTACGCTCTACTTGATGCTGATGCAGTGCCCACCCTTCCACGATGACTCTCAGACGCCGGCGGGCATCCAGGCTCGTCAGCAAGGTCGCTTCTATAAATCCGAGACGTTTGCAGGGCCCCACGGTTGCAAGCAGCAGAACAGCTGCCAGCATAGTGGCAGCACAGTGTTTTTTTTTGCAGGACTGTGTGCATTCGCCGTTGTTTTTTGTTTGATCCAAGCCGCCGGTGCTGAGGCTTTCAAGCGAAGCGAAGGTCTCGGCCCCAGCGTTCGAGGTCTCTGCTTTGCCAATCCAGCAGCGCAAGCCTTGTGCGCCGAGGATCTCATCACGAGCTTGTTGGCTGGAGACGCGACCAAAAGACCGGACACCACGGCTGTTCTTGAGCATGCTTGGTTAACGAAGACAACGAAGACCGACTGAGACGCACAAAGCGTTTGCATCTCATTCAAAGCATTCTGGCAACTTAGAGCTGCGGGCTCGTCTCAGCAGCTGCCGAACAAGGTGGTCATAAAAGCAAGCCGCAGCCCTTTGTTTGACCCCGGCTTGCACGGGGTGATTCACGCAGAGACACTCGGTTGCCCTGCGTGCAGTCTGGGGCGGGGGTGCGGGCATGGCACCGAAGAAGGCGCATGATACAGAAGCCTTACGCAGCGTTCGTTTAACGTTTTCAAGGCCGTGCTGGCCATTTGCGCCTGCAATCAAAGATTCTTGGTGCCACTTGCACGTTGTCAGATCTCCTGCTCTTTCTATTTCTGCTGGTGACGGCCAAGTGCTGAAGACTTGGATTGCACCTTTCAAGAATTGAGATGGCAGGGCCAATGTTACAAGATGCCACAGGGTTCCTGGATGCCCAGCTAGATTTGCCACGGGCCTGACCAAGACTCGCATGACTGCAGATGACTGCATATGATCCAAAAAAAGCATGTGCAAGAGGAGTTTGTATAAGAGTGTCCCATCGGGCCTTGTCCGCGTAGGTTTCTGCCTCAACCGCGGAGGTTTGTGTAGGTTTGCGTTCGGATGTGATGTTTCGAAGCGTTCGGATGTGATGTCTCGAAGCGTTCGGATGTGATGTCTCGAAGGCTTTGTTTGCGGAAGCCATGCGGCGTAAGCTAAAATCCTGGACGTGAGGTTTGTGCAACTCTGTGTTCTGTGTTCGCGTGCTTGTATGACCGCATAATTCATATATATATATACATGTATATATATATATATATATATATATATATACATGTTCATATACATACATATGCATGACTGCATGTGGCTGCGCCGTGCCAAGCCCAATGCCAGGAAGCCGACGAAGCTGATCCTGATAGGGTCCCATCGAGCAGCCTTGCAACAGCTGCAGCGCCGAGCTTAGTCAAGTATGCAGTAAGTTGGGATGTTCCCCCTGTACTAACAGTCCTTATTAGCCTTAATACGGATTAAAGTTGGGGATACTATAATCCCTACTAAGCACTGTTCGTATAAGGGGGAACATCCCAAGTAGTAAATCTAATAGGGCCCCGCAACAACCAAGCTTTTGATTCCGCGCGGCTGTGCCGAATGCAGGGCCTGGGCTGTCCTGCCACTGCTTACCTGTGTCTCTTTGCTTGCACGTATTCCCTTCGGACGTATTCCCTAGTCGCTGCAGCACTTGGTTTCTGTTGCTGGCACGCTTTTTTCTCCTTATTTCTCGTGCAACTGTGGGATCAAGTCTACGAAGTCTACGACACGATGTCGTGAGTTTGTTTCCAAGAGAGCTCTCATGTCCGGGAGCTACGGCTCTGCCAGCGCCAGGCGGGCATCTGGCGGATATGGCGGCTCTGGAACCTCCCCAAAGACTCGGGAGGCTACCATGGCTACCACGCGGGAGAGACCCAGTTTCCGACAAGAAGCTTCAACAGCAGGCAGAGCACCCCACGGTGGAAAGGTTCACGAAGTGCCCGTGAGCGCTGCAAATCTACAGCAGATCGAAGAAGCAGCCCGATCTGGGCTTGGCAAACGGACATCCTTGCCCAGCCGAGCAAAGGCAGCGCTCGCTCGTGCCGAAGGTGCCGCCAGCCGACGGAAGGGTAGTCCAGGCAGCCCAGGTGCCAAGGTTCCACACCCAAAGACTGCCGCGCCAGCGGACGTTGGCAAAAACTTGCTTGGACTCGACTTTGCGTTGCTAGCACAAAGGGCAGCGCCAAGCTCCAAGAATCGTTTGGAACAGATTCTTCAGCAACTGAGCGACGAGATCAGCAAGATTGCATCCCAGTTTGATCATGAGCAGGCTTCTTCGTCCGAGCTGCATGCAGATGAGGGGGAGGGCTCGGCCGACACAGCCAGTGCGGCCACCACTGTTCCCATGCACCAGCCAAGCCCAAGCGTTGAGACTAGGATTGTGGAGCGTCTTTGTGACAAAGTCCAGGGCATGCACAGCGCGTTGCAACAACGAGACTCAGTGGACGACCCAGTGAGTGCAGAGGATGGTCTCAAAGTAGATGCACATCGCCTGTCGCAGCTGGAGAACTTGATCAGCAGCTTGCAGGCCAAAGTCGAGACCCTGCCACGCTACGACCGCTACGAGCTTGCCGAGACGCAGACTGTCCGAAACGACCGGCTCCGCATCGAAACCAGTGAGCTCCAGCAGCAGAAGGATGCACTACAAGCCGAAGTCATGCAATTGCAGAGGCAGAAGCAGGCACTGAGCACTCAAGGTGCATCTGGGACCAGGTTGTGCGGAGTTCCACCAGCCTGTGCTTCAGCATGTGCGCAGACTGTCCCAGGCCAGCTTTCAGGCAGAGAAGTTAAGGGGCAGGCGGGCAATGTGTTGATCCCTCAGCTGCAGCTGGGTCAGCTCAAGGTCACAGACGTGGCAGCCAGTGTCTCTCCACCCCAGTCGGGAAGGACAGATAACCAAGCAAGGACCCTCACCCTCCCTGTGGGGCTCCCTGTCGGTTGCTCCTTTGCAGTGTCCTCCCCACGAGGACGTGTGCCTGAGCCTTGCTCAGCCCGAGCGCTGCAGGCCATGGCCCCCTTGCCCAATGGCCCCAATGGCCCCAATGGCGCCAATGTTCCGGGCGCAGTCCTGCGGATTGCGGGAAGCCCACCGCCAGCTCGATGGGGGAACGCCCCTGGCGTGGTGCAGCCACAGCCCTGTGTCCCGTACGTGCTTCACCACACGCACCGTGCAGTGACGCCATCTCAGTCCGTGGCCCCAGGCCACCCAGACATGAGGGACTTTCGATGGACTTACCAGACTCCACATCAAGTGCAGCATGGAATGCAAGTGAAGCTGCGGTAGAGATTCAGCGCTGTGCCTTCTGCAGCATTATGCCATGATTGTATTATAGCCGATCCCGAAAAGCAAGAAGACCTTGCGCATAGTGCATGTAATTCACCTGTTTGAGCCTGCAAGCACCAGACAGCTGTGGCCGTTGAACCGCGTGGGTGCAGCCCATCCAGCCCTGCCCTCTAAGGTCAAGGGAACCGGGAAGGACGGAGTAGTCTCAAGAGGAGCTAGGCAGGAAAGCGTGCCCAGAAAAGGGCCGACCGCCTGCAAATGGTTAGAGGCATGCCGGGCTCACGGTCTTTGCACAACCATCTTGAAAGAAGTGGTTCTGCGTGCTGAGGCCGGCCTTCGACGGAAAGAAAGCGACATTCTCATTTCCGTTAAAACGGTTTTCCAGCAGGCCTGACTTGAAGCCCTGTGCACTTGAGTCACTTGACGTTGCTACCCGCTGGCAAAGAGGAGCTTGATCTCATTCAGATTGATGACACAATCCGGTATTGGGTGGATCGGGCGTCAAGAGCTGAGGGACAAGTGGGGCTGCCCTGCATGAAGCGCACAAGGCTTGAGGTGTTGTGGGCCGAGGATGGACGAAGCCTTTCCGGACAGAATGCTCAAGAACATTCAAGGCTACTAGGTGCCCTGGCCCCTGTCCTGTGCACGGTGTTGTGCCGTGCATGTCTTAGTGGTTGCTAGATCTCTAACTATGTCAAACTCTCCCCTCCCCTCCTGCCTGCTCTCCCTTTTCCTCCCCCAGAGGCCTCTGGGAGGGAGTGCCCACCCCAAAATGGCTCAGGACAGGTGGTGGGAATGATCCCTCACACCCAGTTCATCACCCTTTTTTGAGTGCCCACCAGATCACCCCTGCGGTGCCATGCCATGCAACGCCCAGCCGCCCAGATCCCTGACGAGCAGTGCCCAACAGACAATTCACACCAAGTCATAACAACCATCACGGACGGACATATAAACAGGTTCGGTCCATTCAATGTGGAACCACGTTGTGAAGCACCCTAAAGCCCTGAACCGGAAATCTCAACACGGATCTTTTCTGAAAAGGCTGAAACCTGATTCTGCGGCAGCGAGCTGTGAGTGGACTGCGCCAGCCGCCGTGTACATTTCGAGAGTGGCCAAAGCTCATGTTTGAGTCGCTGCTACCGGTATCAGGGTGTGCCAGGCCATTTTCCTAGCGGCCTGCAGCAGCCTGCGGTCAGACTCTGTCAGACCCAAGGACCTCAGCCCCCAGGAAGAAAGACGCAGCACGGCACAGCAAGCGCGCTGTCCATACGCCAGCAGCAAAGCTCGTTGTCGCATGGCACAGTGCGTGGCACAGCAGATGCAGGTCGCTTCCTTGGGTTCCCCGGGCTCAAAAAGGCAGCAAAGGCTGCTGCAACGCTGAGAAGGGGCGCAAGGCAAGGTGCCACATTTTGACTCATGCCTCTGCTATGCCCGGCGCTTGAAGGGTACTGACCACATGAGATCACATGAGTACAAGACCTGAACCGAACACAGTGTGACTATCGCGCCAAGGTCCTTGCAGCAGCTCCTGCGCCTGGGAGCACAGGGCTTGACGCAGGCTCCTGCTTGGCTTTGGACCATGAGTGGAAAGCGCAGTGTTGCGACCGTGATTGCAGCGCCTTGGCCTTCGTCCCAGGGGGATGCTGAGCAGCATTCTTCGCATGCAACTGGCGCGGCTGCTCAGAGAGCGATCATGAGCTTGTTGTGAACACTTCTGAATGCGGGTGCCAAGGTCACAGTGCAGGTGGCAAAACCGAATCGCCGGCATCCTTGGCTTCAGAACTGACGGTTGCAAAGCGTGTTGAGTGGGGGGGGGGCATCGAGGTTACAGCTTGATTTGAGTGCAGCGGTTGCGCAGGCCGCGTCAGGCCCTCAGAATCCGCACCGGGCATAGTGATGAGATGCCCTCATAGCAGCCAAGTCAATCGAGTCACAGGAGTTATCTGGAGGAGCAGAAGGCTGCCAGGCCCTGTCGGCCTCTACTTGCCTCGCAAGCCTACACTACTTACTTCAACGTCCTTGATGTCCGGACAAGTACTGTTTGGTCAAAGAGCTCAGACCTGTCACGGAAATCTACCACAGATGCACTCATAGGTTGCGAGGGGAACGCCGTAAAGGAGACCCTTCTCATGGTGATCGAGAGAGAGGCCACTCCACGTTTCAACATTCCTGAACCCACAACCGCTCGCAGAAGCTCGCGTGTTTGGGAAGGAAGTGGCAAGAAAGTGGCCGGCTGTGCAGCGTACGTAGCCATTTCTGCTACTGGTAGAGAGGCAGAGAGGAAGCACCCAGTAGCACAACAGCTCATCGTGAGCAGGCAGACGGTGACAGTGATTCTCGCCAGCGATGTAGTGCCTTGAGTTGCGCGTAGGGAGTGTTTGGAGGTGCCTGCCATGTCGTTCCAGCCAGGAGACCACTTGTGGAAAAAGGGTGGGCGCTTTTCAGGAAAGCTGTACGATCACCACGTGATTTACAAAGCCAAAGATGCGAACGGACATGTCATAATTGAAAACTCTTTCCGTGCTGGTGGAGTTGTTCAGAAGATTCTTTCCGATGCGAAGCTGCAGCCTTACGAGCTCTACGAGAGGCCTTGCGACGCGGAAAGCTGCTTGGCTAGAGCCGAAGCTGCTCTGTCCGAGCGCCGCAAGTACAGCCTCCTTTTCTACAATTGTGAGACCTTTGCCAACGACTGCCTTCACGGCTCTGGTGGCAGCTTTCAGGTACGAAGGGCAACGGGGCACGTCGCGCTCTTAAGCTCAGTCTCTTCGGCTGCAGCCACCTCCGCGGCAGTTGGCCTGGTTACCACGAGGCACGTAGTGGTTCACATCCCGGAGAAAGGGATGTTTGGTTTGTGGGCCTTGCTGGGTTTCACACGACCAGAAGTGAAGACGGTTCTTGTTAGCCATCCACTCGGGATAGCTGCAGCCAGCGGCGCAGCATGTGGATGTTGCATCTGGTCCTGCTTTGCAATCTTCGGACGTGATCCGAGAAAGCATCGAAGGCGCCCGGGTCACTAGTCATACTGTACCGATCTGCCCAACAACTGTCTGCAGGTTTCCAACTTTTAATTATGCAGACAGTGCTGGTTGGTGCCTGTCTGGTGCCTTTCTGAACAACCAACGCCAAATGAGCGTCGGAAAAGAACTGTCCAGCGTTGCTTCATGAGCCTCACGCAGATAGCACGAGAGCAACTCTGGAAGGAAACTGACCGGATGTTGTCTACAGTAGAACACCAAGCAAAAGCAATCACATTTGTGATGTGAGGCCGTGATCGGTCGAGGTCTCGCAAGAAGGACGCAAAGGACACGAAGGACGTAAAGGACCCCCGTCCAGAGCGGACTAAGAGCAGGCAAGGCACGCAAAAAGCATTGAAGGGAGCACTGGAGCATTTCGCAACTCTAGCTTGGTGCTGTAGGCGTGAGCGTTCCGGCAGCAGAGCAAAAGCCATGAAGCGAACTTCACGGACCAGGCGCCTTCGCATGGACAGAGCAGATGCGATTGTGCCCAGGGATCGGAACTGGCGAAGTTGTCTTCGTGTGAGGCACAGAAGTGCTCCGGTTGGAGCTGGGTCATCCGGGACTGCAGCTGGAGCTGCTTCGAGTCGAGGTGGTGAGCAGAACTCGCTTTGCTGCCGAAAATTTGCAGAGCCCTTCATGCTAGGTGTAACCGCAAGGAGGCCATCATCTGCGAGGAGAGCCCATTTTTGCAGCCTACATGCGCCGACATGTGGAGGTTCAGTCCACCGAACCAGACGCCACGATTGACCAACTTTCCAGCCTGCGCTTGCACTCGCGCTTTCGTTCTGTTGTTCTCATGCAAGCCGTGTAGACTTGTGCGTGCCAGTGCAGTTGACTTTGCTGCCTTCCTGGGCAGAATCCAAGCCTGGATACTCTAACGCGAAGCCTGAGCTTGGCCTCTTCTTGCACTCGTTTTTGCCAGCAGCTTGAGACTGCTACCCTGACGGCCTTGCCCGAAGCAACTTCCCATGTCCTGTGCAAGCTTGCGACACCACAAGCCCAACGCCTGTAGTGTGGGCTGTACCAGAAAGGGCTTAACTTCAAGCTTCTTTTCATACACTCGTACCTCATTTCCTTCACCGGTCGGTTCACTTTGGTGTACATCTTCACGGGGTACAGGTTACAGGTTCCAGCTTGGGACCAGGAGCCCTCCTCCGAGCTCGCGGAGGCCGTCACCTGCAGGTGAGAAGCGCCTTCAGGAGGCTCAGCACTCACAGGGCTCGTGCCAGGCGTTTCAGCGGTGTCAGTTGTTCTTCTACAGGCACCGCTCAAGTTCGCGGGCCGGATTGGGCCGATAGCCGCCAACAGATCGGCGCCCAGTGCTGTGATGCAGAGAGGTTGCATTGGAGGTTCTTGGAGCCTTAAAGCTTGAAATCTTTTTCCTGAGGCCGATCCAGTGGCTGGATCTCGGTTCTTGCAGATGAGAAGCGGAGAAGCTGGGTGTCATACAGGCATGCTGCTGGGGGAAACCACTACGGGGAGGTGCAACCTGCGTTCATTCGGCCATGCAGCTGTGCACACCCTAAACCCTAAACCCGATCCCTAAACCCTCAACCCCTAACCCCGAAAGCCCTAAACCCCTAACCCCTAAACCCTAAACCCTAAACCCTAAACGAGTGGGAAAAAAAACCCTAAACGAGTGATGATTGCGGCTTTGGTTTTTCCTTTGAGAGCGGCTCAAGCCAGCCGCCCGATCACCCTCATTGAAGCCCTGGGCAGAGCCACCAGGCCGCCCACATGCCCTCCATCCTCCAGAGTCGTTTCACCACGGACACACACGTGTGTGGGCAGGTTTGGGTATGGATCTTGAAGCGCGTGAGCAGGAGGCACAGCCACTTCTTGGCAGAGCCTTGGATGCACTCCTCTAGTGGCACGGTCAAGACAATGTGCATGTGAACTAGGGGCGCTTTTTTCCTGGCCCATCGTCCAAGAACTGGGACGCAGCAAATTCGCTTCTGTATCTGCAAAGCAGCAGGCAGGCCGGCATCCAGCTATGACCTGCCAATGGCAATGTGCACATTCTGCCAATGCGCGGAGGCCTTTCAGGCTTCGATCTCACCCAAGACGTTCACATGGAGACTGCTCCTTCGACCAAGATGGTTCTTCACAAATGACTCGAAGTCTTCAGGGCAATGATCCTACTGAGGCTTGTTCTTGTTTCTGGCCCGCAGCTGGCTTTCATGGTCCGGCCCTCATATGCGAGTTTTTTTTTTTTTTTTTAAACTTTATTTTCATTTTATTTTGTTTTTGCGACACTTTGTGTTTGGCCAGCGCGCCGTCGACTGGCGAGGCCATGATTTTCTTGGTGAACAAGTTCCTCTACTGGCATCCCATGCTTGTCTATGTCCTCTCCGGGCTGACTTTGGCCCTGGGTACATGGGTCCGAACCCTGAGAAGTGCTTCTGGGAAGTCATGCGGCATGTGGGCACAACCTCCTGATCACGAGACGGTTCGAGTGCTCAGGTTCTGAAGGCTTACCGCAAAGAGCCGTGGCAGCTATGGCTGGGCCGCTTCATGTTGGCCTCCACGGTCTTAGGCCTTGTTTCAGGCACCAGCTCCTGCGAGCTTGTGTTCGCCTTGTTGATCCGAGCGGAGCAGTTGTTGCCAAATCTTAGCTGTTGCCTCTGCAGGATACGTCATCTACTTCACCAGTTCCGTGTTCTACTACCATTACACAGCCGCAGCAACCTACACAAGCGTTGTTCCGTCGCAGCCAGCTGACAGCATTCTTGACGCCCGGCGGACAATGTGCCACATTGGGGGGTGAATTTCGGGATGTGTGGGGATGTGCATTTGCTCAGTTGCGGCTCCTGTTCGTCTTGTGCACTGAAGCTCTTGACACTGTCCAGGATGCTGGCATCGTCAACTTTGCAGTTGGCAGCGGCGTTGATGCCAGCAGATCTGTCGGATTCCAGTCCGCAGCTGATGGCGCAGTGATTTGCATAGCACCCGTTGTGGATGCTTCGATGAAGCCGCAGACTCCCGTCAACTTGTTTGCGTACGGCATCAATTGCTGCGGGTTTCGCGGGGCCTTCCATTGTGACGATGCCCTCAACCCATCCGCACGTTACGGCCTCGTGCGGCCGGAGCCAGCTGCAATCCTCCCACCTGTGTTGGGAGACCTCGCCTCGGGTCCCAGTGAGGAGACCCTGACAGCCGCAGTGAGCCTTCAGCAGGCATCCTTCGGTGCCTCCACAAAGCCGGTGAAGAATATCTTCGTGCGCTACGTCAGTGATCCGCTGACTGCCAAGATGAGCTTCGTTGACACAGCCGTTTTGGCGGGAATATCCTGCTCCAGTCTTTTCTTTGCAGGGCTGCTTGCGTCTGCATCTCTTGTTATTCTTGGAGGCAGCAAGGTTAGATTGATCTTGCAGCGGCTTGTAGCGTGAAGTGCCCTCAGCGAGCCGCATGCGGATGATGAAAACAAACAGAGTAACCCTGCCTGCTTCGAAGTTGTAGAACGTCCGAAGTTCGATGAGTCACTGCGTCATATCATCTCATGATCTCACGTGCGTCCTTGCCTTCTCCCCGACAGGAGTGGGGCCTTCAAGGAGGAGCAGCTGAGGACATGGCCGGGCACTCTATGACTTGGGCATCCCTGTCCTCAGGTAGCACATCAGGAAGAACAGTCCATGCACATCAATGCTCCTCTTGACGGCTGCTCCAGGTGTCGTAGGCCTCTCTTGAGACTTGCGCTGCTAGCGCGGGGAATCATACCCGGCACTTCAAAACCCGTCTCATGTGCAGTTGTACCAGAGGTTTGCGAGCACCCCAAAATCAGTTAGGGACTAGCATTCCCAGTTTGGGTAATAATGCCACCGCCAACCCATTAGATGATCATTCCTAGGGTCCCCCCTACACTTCACCGATATATCACTACTACTTCCCCCATTAGATGATCATTCCTAGGATCCCCCCTACACTTCACCGATATATCACTACTACTACTACCCCATTATCAATACAAATCTAGGAATAACCATAACCCCATCCATTATCTCTAAGGTGGCATTATTAGCCTAAATAGGCAAGGGGGTTCTTGTAGAATTTGGTTCAGGGTTTAGGGTTTGGGGGCAGGATTGTAAGTCAGGTGCGGGGTTTGTATGGGTTTGTTTCAGCTTAGTTGGGAATGGGGGTATACATGGATTGGGTTTCTCAAGGAATTCCTAAGGATGGGTAATGAGTGTTGTTCGCAGTTTAGCAGACGCTTGAGCAAAACCCATGCCCAGTCGTGGCCGTTTGCAGACCTCCATGGTCCCTTGAAAAGGAAATGCAGCGGACTTTGTGAGTTTGGGAAGTAGTGCCTGGCCAACATGCGAGCCATGATCCTGGTATGCACCTGGCTGGCCTTCAGCCTGAAGCCGCCATCGTTCGGAGTGGCTCGCTGGGCACAGATGACTCCTAGTGAGGAGGCCAAACAAATCCTGGGTGAAAATGCTGAATATCAAACCATCATCAAGTTTGTCGATTTCGCAGCAGAGGCACGGGCCCGTGAAGAAAAGGCAAAGGCAGACGCCCGTGAGGCAAAGGCAGACGCCCGTGAGGCAAAGGCAGCCGCAGATAAAGCAGAGGTTCATCACGTTTACTTGGAGCACGACAGGGCACGGCTGCAAGATGAGCTGTTCCGTGTTTTGCAGAGAGCATAATGGGTTTGGCAATGTGTTGTTTTTTTGGGGGCGTTATATCGGTGGCCAATGTGCACATAAATGATTTGAGCCAAGGCTTCGTGCCAAGTCGCAGTCCGCCGCAGTTCTTTGCAACCGCTTCCTTATTGAAGCCGGCCTCATTAACCTCTATCCCAAAGCAACACTGTCGACAGGCTACAGGAGCTTCAGCATGCAATTGATGCAGAAGACGAAGGGACAAGGACCCAGCCTAACAAGACAAGGACGGGTGTTGTTCCACGGCATCGTGAAACAAACCAACATGACCGCCAAGCAGAAGCACGTCGCCAAGGAGCTGGATGATCTTATACATCACCTGTCATCTGATGCTGACTTAGTTGAATCTGTAAAGCATGTCGGGTTCCAGTGCTCCACTCCCTTCTCTTGAAAACTGAACTTGCCGAAGCCTGCACTAAGGACATCCATTATCCAGAGTTGGATGCGACGGGCTTCATGTGTGGAGGGAAGCAGCCTCCACAGGGCATCGCAATCGCAATGGCAGTGTGCCACTTGCAGGCTAGGGTGTTGGCTCAAGAGAAGTTGTTCAACAGCTTGTCAGCATGTTCACACACCCTGAGGCCAAAAAGCGGGTTCACCAACGAGTTGTCGTCCTTGACGCCAACTACAGCCCAGTCGCGACATTGGTGGATGGAAGCATCCAGCCACCGCCCTGAGAACGTACACAAGGGACGGGCTTCTCAGTCGATTCAGACGTCTTTTCAATTGACGATGTGTATCATATCATCATATAGCCTGATGTTTGGGCCAGGCAAAACAGCCTCTCAACGAGCAGCTCAAAGGAATGGTCAGTCCCCTACATCTAACATTACCTCGAGCAATATGTTGTTTCGGAGATCGCCAATGTCAAAAGCGAAACAGGGACAGCCAATCCGCACGTAGGGCAGCCAATCTGTTCAACGACCGTCGCGAAAAAAATTCTTGTCCGCATGTGCTGAATGCCGACCCTCTATAAGCTAAACCCAAGACCTCCCTGGTCACAAACCGCTATTTCACTTCCTTCCACCGCTTTCCGCAAGGAAGTCGCTCTCCGTCGCCTGCAACACTGAGCGCTACACACTGGACGACCTCATTCTTCATCACTTGTTTACATGGGTTATTTGACCTTTTGATGATATTCTTGTATTTCCTTCTATCCATATTTGTATCAATATCGTGATGGTGAAAATACAAATCTAATAATGTTCTTTGCGCTTTGTTCCCTCTTTTTGGCCCATGAAAATTATCACCAAACAAATCATACTTTTTCATACACCGGTCACGCTTAGAATTGTCACATACAGTTCTGCGTAAACCAATTGGCCATTTGCTCAATATTTCCACCTCGTTTTCTTCCTCGCACTTCCAACAATTTTCAAAATTGAACATTTCCCTGTTAAAAAATATATATATATATAGGTGTTATTTCTTTAGGTGTTTTTCTTAAAATTTTTTATCAAAAGAAAAACTCAACTTTTAACAACACAAAGCGTAAATACGCTCTATCGTTACCTTCAACATAATAATATTTTTGGCCCAGTTTTTCATCAATTTTTTCTATGGTATAAACATTTTGGCTAAAATTGCCTACTCTATCTTTTTCATTGGGCTTCCTTTTCCTGAATATTTTAACTTCATCACCAACACTTAATTCAGGATAGACCCGATTTCGTTTAGCATTCATATTTACATGCAGTTTAACTTTTAATTCATTGCTTGGTTTTCTGGCATCCTTTGGGGTGAAGCTAGTTGCAGAATGCTTCATTTTGTTGTTGTATGTTAATAATATTTCAAAAATATAATCTGGCCACTGAATATTGTTTTTACCCTTTTTCTGATCGGCTTCAACACGACGATATAATAAATCTTTGAACGTCCTAATGGCCCTTTCGCTGAAATTTGCGTGTGCCCTCGTTCTATAGTGAACTATGTTCTGTTCCTGTAAATACTTTTGTATTGCCTCCTTGTTCATTGCTCCCTCGTCGTCGGTATAAATTAGTTTGGGCTTCTTCCCCATTTTATGTAAGCATTCAATCATCCCACTCGCTAAATCTTCTTCCTTTTTACCTTTAATTGCCACGACATGCATAAACTTTTCAAATATGTCAATCATTAACATTCCTACTCTAAATTTTTGGTTCTCCAAATCATTTATAAAGAACAAGTCCATCTGATACTCGTATGCTGAATGGGGGGCGACAAAGCTATTTGAACCGACGGGCTTTCGCGTATGCTGAATGGGGGGCGACAAAGCTATTTGAACCGACGGGCTTTCGCTTTTGATCAACATTCTTCCTAAAAAACTCGTTGATATTAGACATTGTGATGGTTTTATCTTTCTCCCGTGCTTCTTCTAAAGTCCGGCTTCTACTACCAAACCCAGCGCGATCAAAATACACATCATTAATAATTTTTTGTTTCTCACTCATCTAAAAACAAAAGAAAAATCATGATTTAATAATTAAATTAAATCATCATTCGTCATCCATCGGCTTTATGATCTTGAACTTGCTCATATCATATTTGGGTGTGCCGCGCTTTGCTTTAAAAGGCTTTTTTTGCATTCGTTATTTCAGACAGCAATTCTTCTGTCAACTCATCGGGGTTCAGTTTGATATTGTTGGCTTCTTCATACTCCTTGATCTTCTTTCTCTGATTGTGTCGTAGTGCAGATTCTCGTTTCTTTTGCATATATTTTTCATCATTTCTGCGCTTGTTGTAATACAATCTGCTGTATATGGCGAGTTGCTCTTTGATTTCATCCATTGTCATATCCTCGGGGTTTTTACTCATATTATACTATACTATATATTATTTTTTATCTTTAGACATATTTCTATACATTAAAAAAATATTTAATATTTTAAAAACATCTTTGGAAAATTACACTTAAAGATTTAATAATATATAGTTTAATTATATTAGTATATCTCCAAAGCCATTAAGCGTAATACAGAAGCACTACGAACATTTTATAACAACAAGCGAAACCGCATCACCCAAGCCACCAGAACAAAGGTTCAACATATAATTAACTTATATTCAGATCGTAAGATCGCCCAATTCACCACAGCAGACAATTTAATTAGGAAACTCACCACCGCAAAAACCGACAAAGAAAAAACTAAAGCAGAAAAAGAATACAACAAGATTTATGACAAGCACAAGGATAAAGAACAACTAGGTCAGAGAATGGCACAAGCAAAAGAAGACAACAAAAGAACAGGAAGAGCCAACCCGAGAAAACCAAGAACCTATTCAATCAATGTCCATTTATCCCAGCTCAGACAGAATCACATCAAGGATTATCAGTATCTTTCAGAGACAGCAGGGGTAGGGCATACGTTCCTATTTATATGCGTGATCTTTCAGCCAATGTAGCCACAACACCGTGGGTTGAAAACCTAGCGGGGAGACGAATATTTAGAGACGAGAAGGCCGACACAAAAACATTTCATAGGCTCAAATTGTCATTAATGACAGATGACAGTTTCAAAGCCGATGTCGGTTATGCCGAAGGTTACATTGCTTGTATTAAAGTTAATTACGCTGAAAGGGTAGATAACGCCGATGCTTTCAAGCCACAAGACGAAGAACTAACAAACACAGAGAATGTCAGTATGTATCACAGATATATTCAGACACCCTTAGATCCACAGTATGAGACCTTTAAGGAAGCCATTAAAGTAGATCATTATGTTAAGAACGAGTGTTGGTTTAACACCTTGACGGATTATTATAAGGATACCCTTATGGGAGATCACAAGAGAGAGAAGAACAAGCTAACAAAAGAAGCCATCCTAAAGATCATAAATAAGACGGAAGAAGATTTTAAAACAACAGGGGCATCAATAACAGACATGGCGAAGGTGTTTGAATATTTCAACTTGCAAGTCAGAATATATGATGC